TATGGAATTTGGAGTTTCCTTCGGTTTTGTCATGAATCTAGCCCAAACATGCTTGTTGATAGTTTATCTGTTAGCCTTTTTCTTTTAAAAGTACGTTCCGAACTTAGGTTTTTCGTCGCGGGTAAATTATGTACTGTGAGATACCTTATCTGTTTTTGGTAATAAAGATCCCTCACGTTCGGTTCCATACTGTTTGCTTAAAGCGAATTCTTCCCAAGGAAACCGACAACGGTCAATTTCGTTGGGTCGAGGTATTTTGTCGATTGATAGCCGTTACTATATTTAAGAATTTACTTTATCGCGTGTTCACGAAACGAAGAAATCGTCGAGTCCACCGGACGTAACATTATGTTGTAGCAATGTTGTAGCAATTATGATCAAAATGTTGCTTGCAGTTATAATCTATATGTTTACTGGATAGTGTGTTGATGCATAGGTTAATTATTTTAATAAATATCATTTCTTTATAACATTCTATTTTTCGAATAAAGAAAAGAATTTTCATTTGAAATTTATATTACAAATTTAAAACTGTGTGATATTAATCATGCCACGTCAATCCGTATGTAATTTCTCTGTTTTGCTCGGAGAGGAAATATGCATTTCTGACTTTTTTAAAGATGGCAATCTTCATGATCAATCGCGACTCTCTGATAAATTATCATCGAACGCTAAATGATCTTTTGGAAGAGGAGCTTATGGGAAACGAGAAAAAAATTCGAACAGTAATATTTACGCCCTTGCGCACAATATCTGCCATGGCGTACACATATTTCGCCATTTTGGTAGTATTGGTCGTGGCATATTTTGCGCCTACGTATATCTTCGTATTACGCAATCTCAGTCACTTAACTACGAACTACACCCTGCCACTCACCAAGGGATTCGGACATCTCTGGAACCTACCCGACAACTTTCTGTATCATTTTCATCTGCCCTTTGAGACGTTCTTATTATTATTAACCTGTATCACAGCGTGCGGCATCGATAGTGTTTTTGGCTTCTATGTCTATCTGATCATTTCGACGATGCGCGCCATGACGTTTAGACTCATAAATCCTCTGCCGACCGAAAAGTTCTCGGACCTGCTGAGAACGTGTGTGGTGAAGCATCAGAAGTTATTACGATGCCGCGACACGTTGGAGCACATCTATGGGCCCATTGTCTTTTGGCATGTTGTCACCAACGCCATACTTCTTTGCGCGTTGATATACGAAGCAATGCTAGTACGTGGATACATTAATGCAAAAATCGATATTCAATTTCGTAATACTTAATAATCCGCGGCTGCGTTTTATGCACGGTTGCAGTTGGTCGTAGATTATAAAGATAATAGATATTATAACCGTATAATTAGTACCATCATGTTACATTAGGAAAAATTTAAACATTTTTTAGTTCTATATATATTTGAAGAACATTTTAAAATGGCGAAAAAAATTCATAATTAATTTCTCGAAATTTATTAGAATAAAAACTTCTATTGCCTTGTTATCTATATTTGGATAACGCGAAATATTCGCAAGGGATCCGTCATGTCTAACAAGTGACACTTTTACTTATTGTATTTAAAATGGTTTCCCACAAAGTATTTAAGACATTAAAGATAATATATAAATATGTATGAATAAAATATATTAAAATATTGAAAAAACAGATGTATTAAATATATTAAAATAATATATTAAATTTATTAAGCTCATAATGGCAAAATCAATTTGGCAATTACAGTGTTAAAGTAAAGTAAAGAAAATTATAATTAAGAATTGAGCCAAAGACAAGCAAACTAATAGATGTAAATTTAACTCTTTATTTTCTCTATATAATAATATCACGATACTAGTTTCTACCTTACTAGGTCTTTCACAATCGCCTAAAAACCTAAATTCGTGTAACGCAGCGTATTAATTATAAATAGTATAAATAAAGCAGATTAGTCAATATAAAGTAAAATTAAATAATATCAAAAGCGGAGTTATATACTAATATAAAATTATAAATAAGAATAAGACGCAGTCGTCAAGTGTGGATATATAATTTTGTCCAGAAAGAAATATATAAGTAAAATAAATAAAAGCAATTAAATAAACAAATAAAGAATAAAACAAATAAAATAAAAAATAAAATGCAATGAAACAAAAATAAAATGTAATAAAATAAATAAGAAACAAATATTAAAATGTAATAAAGTAGAAAAGACGAAATAAAATAAATATTTTATATTTGTGTGAATAATAGGTTCTTAGGAATGTAGCAATAATCATGATTAAAAAATAATTTTTCTAAAGTAGTTTTGTTTATCTTGATAGTTAAACAATAAGGATAAAATGGTTTTGTAAACCGCTGTATTTTATTATAATTGATCTAAAAAACCAAATTGGTATTATCTTCAATGTATAATACAATCACTAAAATCATTTTGTAAATATTATACCTCAAAAAAATCTGTTGTATTAAATGAAAAAAAATCTATATGGTATTATCTTTAATGTACGATCACGTTTTATTATTAATGAAACAAAAACTTAGCAAAAATTAGTGAAATCTGTGGAAAAGACATTAAAAATGTAAAAAAAGACCAATATTTTTTAATGTTTTTACTTTGAAAAAATTGTTTTATGAAAAACAAAAAAAAAGCCAAAATAATGACATGAAAAAGAAGTGAAATCAAAATGTTATTCCAAGTATATTGATTAGAATAATCAATATCGTAAGGTATTTCTCGAAAAAAACCAAATTATCAAATAAAACCCAAGTGGTACTATCTTTCATTCTTATGCATTAAAATATAAGTGTGTGACGAGACGCCCCGCCTCGTCACGACAACACGGGCCGACCAACCACCTCTGGCGCTTAGCGCCACAAATCCCACTACCTGGCATGCGCTTCGAGCGTGCTACCCCCCCTCTCCGCGCTTTCCCCCGCCGAAGCCTGCCGGCGGGGGTATATAAACCAGAGCCACGGAACAAGTGGGATCCTAGTCCTGTCCCGAGCCAGCGCCCGGCAAGACCATTCCGAGTAGTTCCTCTGAGCCTCCGCTCCCGCCGGATCGGGTCGCCCGGTCGACACCGCGTGTGGGTCGCCCGCAGCTCCGAGGCACGCCTCCCAGTGGAACGGGTCGCCCGTTTACTCCGGACCAGGTCGCCTGGTCGGCCGGAACCCGTCTACCGTTAGCCCAGCTGCGCCTGGGCCCGTCAACCGTACCGTACTCCGCCTGCCCGCCGAAGGGGCCTCGCGACGCGCCCGACCTGCGACCACCGCACCGAGCCGCGCTCAGTATGCCATCTCCGTTCTCGCCAATATCCGCCGGCTCCGACACGCCACCGCCCGGCACTTATGTACATAGTGTAAATATCATATCTTTTATAACCGTTTAAATAAATTGCATTTCGAACCAATTGGTGTCTCACACTTTCTTGCGCACCTGGCTCCGGCGAGCGTAATCCGAGCGCAAAAGGTGACCCGTCACAAGTGTTGTATATTTCAACATGAAAAAAATTTCATTACAAAAAATTAAAAAGTATATGTACCAATATAATACTGGAAATTATTTTTAATTATACAACAATGGTAATAGTTATTAAAGAAATTCGCAATGGTACAATATTTTGGGAAGCTATCTCTCACAATCGTAGTTGTTGGAGGCAGATGAACGATAACATACACGCTTGATTTCTTGATAAAGAACAGAACTATTTATTGTAAGCGATGTTAATCGTACGTACGTAATACAACGACTGACTACGATGGCTGCGAGCGACACACACACACACACAAGAATTTGGAAAGAAAGTATATGAATTAATAGAGGGGTCGCTGAAAGCGGAAGTGTTTCGCTTGTGCCCGCGGTGAGGCAGTGTAGATACAGTTACCAACATACAGTTACATTTTTATAAAGAAAAAGATAGAATGTGAGAGCTCCAATTAATTTTAACACTTCCACTGCTTGAACATTTTATAAAGTATGAAGAGAAAGGAAAAGAAAATAAAGTTTTGATCGCGACTTACATATGTAAAGCTGTTTTTCGGTTCACGACGCCTATTTCATGTCGCAAATATTTAAATCGTTCTCGTGATAGACCTTTCGTGAAAATATCGGCTAGTTGATTCTGGCTTGGAACATATTTGACATTAATATCGTGCTTTTCGAGTCTTTCTCGAATGAAGTCATAGCGCACGTCGATGTGCTTCGTGCGACTGTGGAATTCGGGATTTTTAATAAGCTTTATTGCGCTTTGATTGTCGATCATGATTACGGTCGCTTCTTTACATCGATGCCTGACATCGGACAGGTGTTTTCTTAGCCAGATTGATTCTTTCGTCGCTATACTGGCGGCGATATATTCGGCCTCCGTGGTGCTCAGACTCACGGTTGTTTGTCGCTTTGAGTTCCAGGTGACTGGACCGTTTACCATTTTAAACACGTATCCGCTGGTTGAGCAACGCGTGTCAATATCCGCTGCATAGTCGGAATCGCAGTATCCGCTCAATTTAAGATCCGATTTATTGCCGTTGTACATGATTCTGAAATCTGGAGTTTCTTTCAAGTATTTGAAGATCCGTTTGACTGCATTCCAATGGGATTCATTGTAATTAACGAAGTATCAAATGAAGGGCTAGTGAGTCTTGCACGAAGTTAGTGCTAAAATTACAAATATTTAACAATAATAATTATCACCCAAACGTTTCGGCTCCGCATTGAGCCATCGGAAGAGCACACG